TAGTAGGGCTAAATTTACTATTGGATATTGATATTGACAACTTAAGAAGGAATTTTTATGGCTACTGCTGTTGATTAGAAGTCGAAGGTTTTGTTGAAATGATGTTCGGGTAGTTTTGGGGCAGGTGTTTATACCCCTTTATCAACTTTTCCGAACATATGATTCCTGATAGTAAGTTTGTCGCGATTGCTTTTTGGCAACGCATTTCATTTCAATGGCAAATTTTGTTCCTTTTTGGTATTTGCTATGTAAAGTTGACAAAGGCTTATCATGGCCCTCCAAATATAGATATCCAAATTTCTACACTTTAGGACGCGGCGAAGGTGTTAAAACAAATCCGGCTTTCGGCTTATGTTGGTTTTGGAAAATCATTAGGTTTTTTATTTACTTTTGGACAGAAAAAGGGTGAAATAAATTAATACCTGCGTATAGCAATCCTACAGATGTATCAGACCCAAGTCTGTGTCGGAATTTCGTGTTTTAAATCTCTTCTCATTCGCTGAATCGGTCTTTTTTCAATTGAGGCAGAACGTCATTTATCGTCACGCGTGTGCGCGACGAACAGTAATTCAGAACCAAGTGATTTTTTGTAGGGCTCATTTTCGGCCTCGAATGATGTTTTTCCAGCGCATTACCGCAAATGCAAATAAAATGCAATAGAACATGATTTGTATAAATCAATTCGGATGAGAACGTTCTTAAGGTCCAGGGGTCTTGCTCCGCTCTTTGAAAAAAGCGTTAACATTGTTTGCACAAATCCCACCATTTACAGTATCCCCAAAAGTTGCTAGCATTTTTGTCTGATGCATGTCTAGCCTGCTAGTGTTTGCTCGCAACTCGATACACTGGGTAAGGGACTTTATCATCCCTTACTAGATCCCTTCGAACTTCAAGGTCAATGCAATCACCAACTGTCATCTCAGCTACGCTGCTTTTTTCCCTGACTCTGTTTCTTTTACCTTCAATATCGATTTGCACAAATGCTAACACTTCAATGTCAACATTGAATACTTCCTCCATAATTTTGGTATGCTCAACTTTTCGATAATTTTTTGTTTTCCTTTCACTCAATAAAACTTGTTCTATAGCAATATCGAAGGCTTATCTTTCCGCTACTTTTTCTTCGTTAGTCCGAGAGTTGAACCATTCCAGAGCTTCGTGTCGTCTCTTCATAACTTTCTTTATCTCATCTTCAAAAAACTTGTCGTTTCTCTCACATTTTCTTATTTCGGCCTAGTTTTCATTCTGAATGTTTTTTGCTATTCTTTCACCTACTGCCTTGTGTTGAGCCGATTGCTCTAATAAGCATGTTATGATTTATCTGACTTCCATTTGTTTCATGAGCTTAGATTTGTCTGTCTCCACATTTTGACTACTCTATCAGTAGGCAGCTCCGGTGCTTTCTGAAGAAGCGTCCAGAGGTTTTCCATTGAAGATTGGAAGAGCTGTTCCGAAATTGAGTCTTCATTGTCTCTTAAAGCGTCAATGGAGAGGTTCTTCAACGAGCGAGACTTCGAGAACTTCTTCAGAAGAGCACGCAACAACTCGTCCGCTAGTTTTTTGTCGGTTTTCCCTGAAATTTTCTCCCGGTCTTCCCTGACGGAGGATTTCATGGACAGCCTGATAAACAAAGTCACCGTTTGCTTCATGAATGATTCGGTGAGCGTTTTTGGAATATTCCAATCATGCTCACTAGCGATCCGTCTAAACGGGGACTCTAACCGTAAACTGCAGTTATGAACAGATTCACGTGGTCACTCTTCGAATTGAGTTTGTCCTCTAAGTCTAGAATGACCTCGGCGTCCGTGTCTCGGTCGGAGTCATCAAAACGGGTGAAATCAATAATACTCGTCGATAATAAAATCGATCATTGTCACCGTCGAAGAACGCGTTAGCCATGTGAGTCTGTCATGTGCAGCTTCCGGGAGATGCGGATACGGCAAACATCGGATTCTCCTAGTCTAGACCGGTTAGTACATTACACAGGCTGCTATTGCCCGTGCCGGTTTTACTGACACTGACGTTTTTCCGGCGCTTATTGTTATTTAGACTGTCTACAACACATGTTGCCCGCTTGTGTTCAATTGTCATGTGGTTGCGTTTTTCGAAACAGCTGTGCTCGATAAACTTCCGGCTACTAAGAACAAAAACCTAGCATATTTGCTTAACAAACACACAAGAAAGAAACTATACTGCAACCATTTTTCTAGGATGCTTGCATTTTGACTAAGCTTGGTAAAAGTAAAAACATTGCGTACAATGCGTATTCTGACTTTCATTTAAAATAGATATATGGATGGCATCTATGTTTGTTATGTATGAATCGATGGATGGCGGGATTGATAGATGGCTGACTGGAAAGATAGATGGATGGCTGCATAGGTTGTTGGATCGATGGCTGGATGGAACGAAGAATGAATGGATAGCTAGATGGTTCGTGTTTGGATATATGGATAATTAGCTTAATGGATAGCTTGCTCAATGTGTGGGTACATGGATAGATGGCAGTTTTGACTGATTGACATGCGTCGAGATTGATGGATTACCTTGCCGTGCCGTGCAAATGACAGACCCATTTAAGTATAGGACAAGACAAAGAATTTCATGTAATCACAATTTACAAACTATAACGAACAATTTTTCCAAAGCGCATTTGAAAATAAGCGAGAGGTATATATATATAGCGTCACTACCAATCCTTTCAGACTTAAAGGTCTGCGTGATGATATGTTCCTAAGGGAAGATGATCGCACATAAGACTGGGGCGATTACGTTGACGGGGCCAGTCCCACTTAAAACGGAAGGAAGGATTTGGCTGAAGCTTTAAAAGTGTGGATAGGGATATTGTGGATCTCTATTCATCGCCTTACACGGGGTTCAATCAATCCATATACACTGTTGAACAGCTAGAACAGAGTTTGGAGCAGCTAAGTGGGCGAAGCGATTTGGAAATAGATGCGTACAATTAACACCATTTGGATGTAGAGGCTCAAAGAACCTTAACCGGAAGAAGAAAGACCACCTGAATGGCGACGCTTAAATCGGCGTGCTATAATCTTGGACGATTCTGACTAAATTCTGACTCTAAATAATTAGCTCAAGCGTACTTTTCATATAGGAAATAACGCTCTTCGAAATTGTTCTTTTGATCAAAAAGTGAAATAATCAATTATAATCGTGAATGGGGCTTACCAAAACAACAACATAAACTTACCAAGATCACAGCCTTTGATATAAATCCATACGTGGTGACAAAGACTTGAAAACAATCCTCAATGTAACGCGCGCGGTGAAATTGGAACTGCAAAAATTAAAGAAAACGTGCAGCAGCAACCAAAACGTAATTCCATACCTTCTTCCAAAAGTGGCCCAAAAGCAAGGATTTTAAATCCCAATTAAACTTGAGTGGCCGAAAAAACATGACTTCAAACCCTTAAGAGTTAAAAGTGATCATTTTAATTTTTGGACTTGTGCTATAAGGACTCAATTGCTTCGTTTTAGATTTTGCAAAAATAGGTTTTTATGCTTTTCTGTCTTTCAAAGAAAGGAGCGCAAAAGTTTTTGTAAATCGAGGTTTTTTCAACTGGGTTGCTTCTGTCCTATTTTCTGTCTGCTTATTTACAATGCTGTTTGTATTATAGCGCAGGTGTTGATTGTGTCTTTGTTTAAAAACATCATGCAATTTTACTGGTTAATGAACGTAGGGAAAACTCTTAGTTAAAAGAATGAACGGAGTAATGATTGTAGTGAAAACTCTTATAGAGGTCTTGCTGATTTTGTTTTTTTTTCTCAGGAAAAGTATTAGAAGTCTCTAATAACAACAGATAACTGCATTCATACATATTGATGCATTTATGAATGCACTTAGGTATATATGCACTTTATGAGTTCAATTGAAATTCATCTGCTGAAAGTAACTTCAATAAAATTCTGCAAATACGAACGTGGAAATGGCGCAAAAAACGTGAACTATTTCTATTTTTCAAATTGGAATTTAATTTTTAAATTTCAGCGGAATAAAATTTTACCTATTGATCCAGTTTTCTCTAGTTGGGTTCAGGTAACCAAATAGCGCTAGTCATAAATTGTTCTAGAATTTCAAAGAGCTTAAAGGGCATCTATTTTTTTTCTTTGAAATTCGAAAGTCCAGTTTTTTTTAAGAAAGTCAGTGTTTTTCTATGTTTACTTGCGTTCATTACTCTTTTCCAATCTTCGGTTTGGCTATGTTTGTATTTCTGGCTGAGAATCATTGCCTCGCTCGCAAGGAAGACAATGAGCTCGGATCGTTGCAGACCTTCAAACCATCAATTTTCTTTCGGACAATCACCCCCTCAGAATTTAATATTCAAAAATTAAATCAAGAAAGTGTCATTTAATTTTAGTAACTGCTACAGGCTTTTTAGGAATGTTAGCGCTCAAAATTTTCATGTTTGAACTCATACACACCATTCTATTATACTCATGGCTGAATAACGCGAAAAGATATATGAGCTGTCTTGCATGCTTTTGTGCGATTCTGGCGATAATTGGCTGTAAATTATTTAATTGTTTGTTGGTTTTTTTGTGAGGCTATTTTCAACATATCTGTAAAAGAAATCTGAAATTTAAATTCGTACATAATTCAAAATTGTTAAACTAGCTTTCAGTTGTTTTAAACGCATTTATATGCCCAAGAAAGGTGCAAGTAAAATAGATGAATATAATGTTCGTTTTCTTATTGGTTGAACTAAGATCGCCGAAAATGATTAAAACTATAAAAAAAAAATTTGCTGTGTCAAAAAGACAAAATATAAGGAGTTAGGTTTCCTGAGAAGATGAAGCAGTTAACTCGTAAATCTGCTCATACGAATTTTGTTAATTGAGCTTCTGTTTTAAATGAAACTAAGATATTCTTTCTACAAAGTTCAACCAACCATAGTTGACTACTATGATCTAATTTTCAAAATTACAAAAATAGGCTTGACCTGATGTGCAATGATGGGTGCTGTAATTTTCAGGTTTGATCTGTGCTTCTTTGGAAGCTGGTGTACGGGGCAACAGCAACAGCAAACATCGACTGAGCTAATCACAAACAGACTTGTCACTCTTCCGAAATTACGTCCGAGATTAATATACCAAAATGTACGTTAATTTGGGTAGCTTTCAACCAATCACGTCCTTTGAACGGTGCATGCGTGACTTTTCACGCTTATTTTATTCTATCTTCTGATTGACTTGGATTACTTTCGGGTTTCGGTCTTTCTAGCAAGAGAGATGTCCCCTCTAGCAAGTCTATTTGTCTCTACTTTGTGTTCTTTTTTTTGTTTGAAGTTATTGGCACAAATTTTTTCAGTTTGCTTTGACATATTCGTAAAATATGAAAAGCGAAGTTCAATTATTTATGCGATTTTGTTTTATTCAATATTTAAATAAAGAGAATTAAACACTTATCGCACTGATTAGTTTGATTTATACAAATGCAATCACTTTCATCTTTATCAGATTTCTATCACGGATGAGTTTTGGGCCGATATGAAGGTAGTCATTTTTTCTTGGAACAATTTTTTTTTCAGTCTGGGTAAAACTGCAGCTTATTTAAAAAAATTTGAATAATTTACCTAACGATCTAAATTTTTGTCTTATTCGGATGATTTATGATACGACTTAAAATTGTAAACAAACCATTTGAGATGGTGCTGTAATTTAATTGGCAAATTTTAGCCAATCAGATTCAAGCAAAATAGTTTCAGTTCAACATAATGAAGTATTGATTTTTTGGTGGAATAAGTAAAAAGACATGGCATCATCAGTATACTGTTTAATAAATTTCAATCATACTAGCTAAAGAATTGTTCACTAAAGTTAAATTCCTCAGAAGTCAGTTTGTAGAATAGGATCTTTTTAAAATAAAATATCCTTGAAGTTACGAAGATAGAAATGTGTCGTTTTATAATTTGTTTTGAGGCCGTTTTTTTCTCTTCGAAAATGCTTCAAATTTAAGTCTAACTCTAATTGGCTAAGTTTGAAAGTATTTTTGTAGTTTTTTGTGGTCATTTCAGATGTTTTTTTTTTCATCGCATGCCTTTTTAATTCACAATACTCCACTTACATCCACAAATATCTAATCGCAAAGTTTTTTGGTCTCTGAAATAGTTTAATGTTGATGAAATTTCTATAACAAAGCTCAATAGATTTCAAAAAAAAATTCCGCGAATCCATTAACGTTTTTCCAGCTTTTGTTCATTGTTTGATTTGAGGTTATATTCTTTGATTGATCATATTCAGATTTTGGGGGGATCTAGATTTCTTAACAGAGTTGAGGGTTTAAACTTATGAAATAGGTTTCAAGCGAACCAAAAAGATTTTAAAGTAAATGTGCAAGAAGGAAACATGTAGATTAGTCCATTTTTTAAAATATTATCGTTCAAGTTGCGAAGATGAAAATATCGATCATAAAGATACTTGAATTTCAAGGAATTTTTAGGCCATATATGTTTGTGTTAAAATGCTTCTGTAATGAGTTTTCGGTTTCTTGACTTTAAGCAACTGTTTTTTGGCCATGTTTTTCTTTTAAGGCATACTTTGTTTCTCGTAATTTAAGAGCTACTTTTGGTGATATGTTACAATAGGTGGTATATTTGAGTATAGTGCATGTATTCAATTTGAGTACTAAAAATTCATTACATAGTCATTTTGTTTTCAATCATTTGTACATGTTACTAAGATATTTTTTCTGAATAAATTACTATCCCAGATGAATGTTATTCAAGAAATCAAGTTTAACACTTCTTTTGCCAAAAATTGTGTCTTTTGAAATAACCTATAAATACTGCTCGAACTATAACAAACTGATCCAGTTATTTGTAATATATAACCAATAATTTTTGTTTTTGATTGTGTATGCGGGAAGCAGTTTCGCCTTTGTGCTTCAAAATGCGCTAGTTTCATCAAAAAACTTCAATCGCTGAAGTTTATAGCGATTGAGATAGTTTGATGGGGCTGCTTTTTGAACAACAAAACTCAGAAAGTTTTCCGGGAGTACATGAATGGCTTTCCAACTCTTGTTCGTTGTTAGTTTTGTAGACAATTGACTATAACTTCTAATTACCAGTTTTACCACCCCTTCCGAAAAATTAAATATTTATTATTTTCCCGACTTTTTTCAGAGTAATGAACGTAGTGAGTACTCATATATAGGTCTTGCTGTTTTTTTTCAGGAAAAAGTCCTAAAATTTGTTTATACTCAGTTTTGATTTTTCGCGGTTCGACTTTTGATTTCTTCTTAATTATCAGTGCATTTCTTTTGTTAAAAGGAAGGCAAACTCCCCTTTCGAACAGAAAAATTGTAAAGGTCACGAAAAACGTGATCGACTTCTAATTTCGAAAATGGAAATTAGTTATCAGGTTTCCCAGCGAAATTAAAGTTTTACCTATTGCTTAAGTTTTCTCAAATTAAGTTAAGTTTTAACAAAAAGTGTCCATCACAAATTTTTCTACAAATTCAAAGAGCTTGAAGATTTTTGAAAAACAAGTCGGTTTTTTTTTAGTTTCCTTGCGTGCAGTACACTTCTCCAACAGTCAGTTGGCTATGTTTACAAAGTGGGAAGGAAATTGTTGTCTCCTGTTTTATCCCTTCCTTCGGAAAAAAATGCTGGTTGAATTATGTATGGTCTGGAGATTTCGTACTTTTTACAAACAGCAGATGCGCTTATTTTGGTGTGAGACTTGATATTGGTTAAGTTGATAGCGATAGTGGGCAGGGTTGGTTTTTTAACACCATTGCTGTGTTTGTTGCAGGAGGTTAAAAATGTCAAAAACATTAAAAAACAATGTGAAACTTTAAATTGGGTTCAAGGCAAAATCATTCATTGTGCATCAATAACACAATTTTAGTTTCAGTGCGAAGCAAGCTTTTATCAATACGCAAGCTATACGCTTGGATAGATGTTTAAAAGTGTTCAAAGTTTTTCACGTTAAAAACACTATTAGTTAACATGTAATTTGAAAAACCAACCCTGGTACTGGGTGATTAAGACATGTAGTGATTTCAGCTGTGTCAAATGAATGTTTGAAAAATTAGGAAAATAACAAAACTCTGCTGCAAAAGTGATTCGCTCGTTGTTTTTGCATTCATGATGCTTTGATGGGATTTCTGCTATGTTTATCTAGAGAGCAGAACTTCTGAGAGATACTTTTATTACATCATTTTTTACTTTGATTGTTTTTAATCTTTGAGATTGGTTTTTCCCGACACTTTTGAGCAAGTCTAAGATGCTATAAGCGGGGAACCCTGTTGTTCACAACTTTCTGGTTGTTTTTCGTTTTTATCTTGCGTACGATGAATTTTGTCATTCTAGTCAATTTTAAGACGTACGAAATCAAAGCAGGATTTTAGGCACTGATTGTTTCTCGTTCCTTTAATGGCAGTTAGTTTTAAGTATTTTTTCATTTTGTGTCTTAGAAATTGGCAATTTAGTTAACTGATGTTATCTTCTGTTTCATCACCGATTGAGAGCTGCTTTGAGCTATTAAAAAGAGCTTAAAGGGTTTTTGTACATTGACTAAGGACGATCTCCAAAATTTACCCGTCAGTAGAATAATATTTGACGTCATAAACACTGTTGTTATCACTCATGTAGTTTTTAGCTATTGTAGACGAAGCTCCTTTGAATAGGAATGTTTACACACGGGCAGCCAAGCGATATATTGGCAATTAGTAGTTTTTTTTTTCAATTTCTAACTGAGAGTAACACCAATTATGGGAAGTTTCGCCGGAAGAAAAGGCAAAAGGGTTCACTTCTTAATCGGCTGCAGGGTGGAACATAAGCTGTATAGACTAAGAGGTGGGACTAATTTTTTGTGGTTGGTTTCTTAGTTTTTTTTACCAGAAGATCATCGGTGTTGTTCATACAAACAATCAGCAATCTTTTACATTTAGGCTATATTGTGGTATCCCTTAAGTGAAATTTTTGTTGCGTAGCATACGTAAAATGTTTTATAAAATTGTTTGAAAAAGTACATAGTTTTTCAAATTTTTGGTGTTTTAATTTTTCGACATGAAATAAGCGAATTTGTCGCTCATTTTTCTGAAGACATTTGTTCTTATATATGTTGCTTCTTGTTAGTGTTACATCTAAACTCAGGAAAATAATGTACTTTTTCTTGCTCAGAAGCAACAGAAACTGTCTCAAGGTTAAAGACTAACGGATAAAAATTGGATATCTGATATTTTAATTATCTTTTGACATTCGACGGACGGTAGCTATTTTATTGTATGCGACCTTTTAATTGTAATGACAACATCTGGTTTATAAAAATTGAGATGTGACCAATCGTTCCATCATAAATTATTTTGTGGAATGTGGTAAGCTATTCGAAAACAAGACAGCTGTTGATCTGCAAGTACATTTTTCTTATACTTATATTGCTTCTTAATTTAATGATTCAGTTTAACAGCCTGCTTATGTTTGAGTATTTTGAGCTTTGACCTTTGACTCCAGATTAAATCCCGGGTAATTCAATCTCAAAATTCCGTTATTATCTTTCCTAAATAAACGTCATTATTTCTCTTCGACCCCGTTCTTGTATCGATTTATTCGGTTGTAGTTCTCACAGTTATCTGACCTTTGAACTTTGGTTGTTACCAGGACTTCTTGCGCTTCGCCTTCAGACCTGATCAAGTTTGTGAGTGACCCCAACAACTGGCCCTACTTGGCAACGGGCGGAGTTTCAACTGCAGCTGTGCTGTATTACATGGTCCCTAGGTACAAGCATGAATATATAATTAACAATAGTAATACAGAAGTGCAAAAAATTAAGCGCAAATTCAGGTTTATCCTCTCTAAAATGACCGTTTTTAAGGATGACTTTGGACACCATTCATTGGGAATTTAGAAAAAAAAATTTCATAGACCAAGAGCAAATGATCAAAGCTACCCTCTATGAAATTATCTAAGTTTGTGGAATGTGTTCACAAACTTAGTAGTTTTTTTTGGGCCTGAAAATGCCAGTTTTTACCATCTGCTCTAAGTTTTGCATCGGAGTGATCTCTCTCGAAAAGCAGAAAAAAAAATTGTTTACGCAATGTAAAACAATCTAAGCGGTTTTATTGAATTGTATAGTGTGACAACTTCACTAAACTCGGCTGTTTCTTATAATTTCTTTCGTTATGAAAAACTTAGTGCATACGGTAAAAACTAGCATTTTCAGACCCAGAAAAAACTGGTAAGTCTTTGGTTAAGTCTTGAAACCAAATTTTGATAATTTCGTTTAGGGCAGCTTTGATCATTTGCTTTTCGTCCATGTATAAATTTGTTGAATTTCCAAGTAAAAATTAACCAAAATTATTCTTGAAATAGGGCATTTTACAGACAAAAACCTGAATTTGCGCGTAATTTTGTCTACTAGTGTTGTATTAATAATAATTATAATTATCAAAATAACATTTTTTTTCAACTCCAGGATTTTCTTATATATAGCTTTGATAGATATAATGAGTTTACCAACGCGACATATCGTACCTAATGAGCAATTAATTTCGGCTCAGTAAAATTTAACTATTCTTAATTTCAATTTTTTATTGGGTCTTTGTATGTACAAGGAATTGTAAGGAATAGGTCCTGTTAAAATTTCCTGCGGAAAAAATCTCAGGTCCATTATGACGTTTTCATGGGCAGGGTGATCATTAACAGTCAAAAACGAACAAAAAATTCTGTAATTTAGTTTTTTCATTAGTTAGACGGTTCAAGGTTCTCTAATTTTGCGTGTTTTTGCGAAGTGTAACTTGGCCTATGTCAAAATTTTCTGGCCCGTAAAAATTCTCTCAGTTTTTTCAAATTAGAATTGTGAGAGACTTCTATCATACTTGTACCAATCCGTAGGCTAGTGCCGCCAGATAGCAACAGACCTGGACAGATTGGATATCACAACAGTAAAGCCTCATCATCCTTATCATCATCTGCACCACACTTCAAAGGCACCGGCAGAATGGGCAATGTTCTGAGGACAGACGGCAAGCCCCTTCAATCAGTAGAATACAAACCTGTGAAGTTGCCCGACAAATTGACAACCATGTTGCCGGTAAGATTTTGCATACTCTACCTTGAAGAGCAACATATTCACGGACAGATGCAAAAAAGATTGAAGCATTATAAAGAGTTGTGAAGCATGTTATGATGCATGTTATTCTGTTGGACTTCAATGTTTTAGCTTTTATTACATGGATTCATGAGCCACAGACTCTGTTCGTTCAGCATCATTACACAATCGTTAATTCCGCGGTGTAAATTTACATTTTTTTATGTTTTTGCATGAAAACTAATCAAGTTTGCAATTAGGTTTTCCTGTTTTTTGCCAAGGTAAGATGTGCACTAAATTTGTATCAATGTTCGAGTAGAGGTGATGAAAAACGAAGAAGATGCCTGATGTTAAGTGCGTTTTGCTTCCCTGGTCAATATGATCTTATTTTGAAGGGTCCCGAAAGAATCCGGATTTCGTGTCTGTGCAAAGATGGAAAAGTGTCCGATAGTTGGATCCCAGATCTCCCTTCGCAGACCATGTACGACCTGTTCATGGTTGGACATAAGCTCTCGGGGGACAGTCCCTGTCTCGGGTACCGAGAGAGACGAATAGAAGAAACCTCATCACGCAGTTCACGAAGTAGTGCAAACTCGTCGCCTCGGAAAACGGAAGTTTGGGATCCTGAATATAGTTGGATCACGTACGAGGAAGTTCGCTACGCGGCTCATCTTGTCGGCTCCGGGTTTGTGAAACTCGGTTTGCCTTCGGCAGAAGAGTACAAAGTGGGCATTTTTTCCCCAAATAGGCCGGAGTGGGATATCACGCAGCTTGCATGCTCAATGTTCAGCTATGTTGTAGTTCCTCTATACGACACTCAAAGTATAGAAGCTCAAGTGCATATAATCAACCAGACTGAATTGAGAATCGTTTGCGTAGACAATGAAGCTAAACTACAGAAACTTCTGTCGCTAAAAGATCAATTGCCAACTATTGAGAGTCTGATTTGTTTTGAAGAAAGTATCGCAGATTCAACATGGGGTTCGATACAAGCTGCGGGTTGGAAACTGCTCACACATAAGCAACTGAAAGCGCTTGGTGAAGAGAAGTTGAGTCCGATAAGTCCGTCCAAGCCAGAGGATACTTTCATCATACTGTACACCTCTGGCACCACTGGAATGCCCAAGGGAGTGGTGTTGAAACATAAGAATGTGGTGACAGAAGTGGAATCCATTGTCCGACTTTTTAGAGTGAGTTCGATGATTTTGTCTGTAGAAATTGATTTTTTTCTGGCAGTTTTGGGCCTTTAACTTTCATTTACAGACAGCAGGTTTTATTTGCATATTTATCATTAGACGAATTAAGTTTTTTTTTGCGTTCAATAGAGTTTCTCGAAAGGTATTTTTTTATCACGATCAGAGGTGGATCCAGGATTTTCTCAGGGGGGCGGATTTTTTTTTCATTTCTTATTTTTGACTTTTTTTCAGGTGGACCAAATGGATTTTCCGAGTGCCCCCAGAACACTATCAAGACCCTATTTGGACCATTTTTGGGCAGTTTTTGGATTTTTTGACCAAAAAATTGCGTTTTTTCGGCGTTTTTTATTCCGTCTTCACTAAATTCGCCCCTAGTCAGGATCTTTTGAAACTTTGCGTCACTTCTAGATCTACTCTTTGATAAAGATCACGATGAGTTTGATGATGATGATGATGATGATGATGATCACCTGGATTATCTTCTTCTTTTGTGTTTCAAGAGGTGTTACTTCAGCCCTCAGCAGATCACTTTGTCCTTATTATCTACTACTCCTTAATCTGTTTGTTGATTGATTGTGTTTGTAGGGATACGACGACAATACTACATACCTGCCTTCTCAAAGTGACACATATATCTCATATCTGCCAAATGCCCACGGATTCAACCAAGTTTGCATGGTGAGATCTTGTGCATTTTCTCTGATTTAAGAAATCAGTAGCAGTCAATTGGTATCAATACATGCTTGTGGGGCCTTTTAAAAGTCAAGCAGATTAAACTTTAGTTAGTTTTCCCAATGCAGACGCCGGAATTATTTGTCTGATATAACTGTTACAAGAATTGGGTGAAAGATTCAAAAAAAAAAATTTTTTATCGAAGATAAAGGGTTTTTAGAAGTGGTCGAAAATGAGTTGAGACGTTGAGATGTTTCAAAACTGAGATTTTGTTTAAAATCTAGGGTGCAATGTTTGCGTGTGGGGCCAAAGTGGGCTACTTCCGGGGAGATGTGAAACAACTCCTAGAGGACGCCCAGGCACTGCATCCGACCTATTTCCCAATGGTGCCCCGTCTAATGAACCGACTCTACGCGGGAGTCTTGGGCAAGATCAAAGGGAACAAAGTGAAGGAGCTGCTGATGAATAAAGGCTTAGCGGCCAAGAAGAAAGAAGTGAGAGCGGGTGTATTCAGACGGAACACTTTCTATGACAAGCTGGTCTTCTCTAAGATCCAGAAGATGTTGGGAGGGAGTGTGAGGTTCATGGTTACTGGAGCGGCGCCTGTTTCCGACGAAGTGATGGAGTTTGTCAAGTGTGCCATGGGGGTGCCAGTATTTGAAGGTAAATTGCAAATGATTTTTATATGATTTTATATGTATGACTTTTAGTTTACTTCAGTTCTGCTAGTTCATCGTTCTGTTTAATCGGTATGAATGTAGACATGAAGTATAGGTGATTATAAGTATAGGTGAAGTTTAAGTATAGGTTAGAAGAAGTTTAGGTATAAGTATAGGCGAAGTATAGATGATTCCGTGTAACAAGGCTTAGGGCTGAAAAAATTCAATTACTTCCTTTATCAAAAATATTTATGATGAAATACTGGTTGTATGATAAGAGTGATCGTATGATAATATTTTTCGTTTCCTTAAGTTGTCGGCATGATTAGGTCTTGGTTATAGTGGTTAAAGAAACATTCACATTTTAGTGGGCTATTTTATGTCAACGTCCTTAAAACTATTCAAATCTGGGTGGAATTCTTGAGTACTGAATTCGAATCGGCAGGTCTTTTGTGGTAATTTTAGACTTCTCAAAAGAGTGGGGTAAAATCATCAAAAAGAAATGCACAAAATTCAGATTAATCACTTGTACCAAAATAGCCCTAGTTTGCTGGTACGTTTTTCTTTGTAATCTGTGGATTTACATGTGATCAATTTATTGCGACGAAGGAAGTTAAGCTTCGAATGCTAAATTGAATTGAGCATCGTTAATATGGAGCTACGAGAGTTATAACGATGAGCGTACCCTCATCGCTGGAAATGAAGCTCCTCCCTTTAATGAGAAGTGTGATTAAACAGGTTATGGACAGTCGGAGTGCACTGCGGCCGCCACTCTAACCCTACCTGGCCAGTTGAGTCTGGGCAATGTGGGGGTGCCTCTGGCCTGCTGTGAGATCAAATTGGTGGATGTGCCAGAGATGAACTACTGGGCCAAAGAGGACAAGGGGGAGGTGTGCTTCAGAGGAAACCACTGCTTCTCAGGATACTTTAAGGTAGAATAGTTTGTAGCGCAAAGTTGGAAAAGACAGAATTAACTAAACAGAACAGTGTCTGTTTGTTCTTTACTCATGCGGAGCGTTGTGTTATACTATTGGGCTACTTTTTTCCAACCTACACTAGTGGAAACAATTAAACGCAAATTTGCGTTTTTACTCTCAAAAATGCCTTTTTTTCAAGGACCATTTTGGACATTTATTCAGAATTTCACAAATATTTTTACATTGACCTATTGCAATTAATCTAAACTACGATCTCTGAAAGTTTCAATTTTTGATTTGAATCACTTCCCAGTTTTTTTCAAATGAAGTCAAATGGAGCGAAAAAAGGTGAATGATTTTTATTCGATATAGTGTTATCTTGAAAATATAGTGTTATCCCGGTCAGTCTAATCGACATTTTTCAAACACAAGTCACACATTTCAGTGAAAATTTTTGTGAATCTAAAAAGTGGTTTTGACTCACATAGAAAGTTTTAAGGTTTCGACACCCTGAGCTACAATTTTTCTCAAACCCTTTGAAAATATCTCTTAACGATATTGACGCCCTGAGCTCAAAGATATTTAACATGCGATCGTTTTTCGTAGTTTTGATGCTTTCAGAGTATTCAATTTGTCAGACGAATTTATGCGCCCTATGATGCACCTGTTTGAGCGCGGCGACCTAATTCAAATTGTGACGCGTTCAAATTATCATTCCATATAGAATTGATGCAAGCTCCCATTTGTTCCTTATGCTTAAGTTTCATTGGATGAAGTGAAGACATTTATTTTGTTCGTGAAGTTTTTTGTTCAATATAAAGCGTCAATCAAATGATTCCTGAAATGTAAGAGCTTTAACGTGACGCATGTTTTCATCGAAAGTTGATGCTTGAATAGGATTGAGATCTTTGTTTTCGGTTTTCTTTGAGTTTGTTGGAAACTTTTCAACTTCAGTTGGCTATGTTTTAGTACTTAATTCGATTTTCCACGAAAGTGAAAGTTCGACTTCTTACCTAACCTTTTTTTGCTAACTGTTTATCCATCTGAAAGATATTTACACTAGCGGACTTAAGTGAGCGTTAGTGTAATAGTACGAATATTCTTTTTTTCTAACCTAAGTCGCGAATATCGTTGGCATCTGTGTGGCTGTTTGATAGCTGGTGCTTCGGCATTTTAATACTAATAATTTAACACAGTTGATAGATTTTTAATTTATCAAATGAACCAAAAAAAGCTATTTGTTCTAACTCAATGTATCTCGCAATTTTTTGAAGCGCATATGTTTTACATAATGTGGTTTTATGCTTCCCAGTTTATTACATGTAAGTGTGGATGCCTTCAGTTTCTTATATTCCAAACTATTTTTTGCAAAGTAGTTGCAATTGGTGCCATTTTTGCTGCATTGCCAATTTATTAGCATATGTAGCTGCTTTATTTGTGACTAGTGTTTGCCGATTGTTAGGTGTTTGTGGTCGAGAGGGCAGGGCGCGAGACTCCAATTTTGGGGTTGCGGGTTCCAAGTCAATACGTATAAAGTTTTAATAATTCGAGGCTTATTCTGATTTTTTCTTTCATTTTATAGAGCTGATTTTTTGTCGTGTTTCGCTAGTGTTTGCGAAGCGCAACTTCGCCTTTTTTTAATGACCTCGGCTAAAAAATATAAGGTCATTTCACCTGTGATCCTTGTTTGTAAAAGTTATGGGGTTTGAAAATTGACAATAGGCAATTACTTGCAATAATTTTCGCGTGCGATATTTCTTACACTTGCGATCAGCAATCGTTATCAAATAAGAACAATTGTCTTTGTTTTCTACGTGAACAACTCCTGTATCTGATTCATTTTCTCAAAAAAATTTTTGTCAACCAACAGCGATATTCTGAGCGTGTCAGCTAGTCAGCATTTTATATACTCGTTCTATTCGAAAGTTGTTTTGGTATAATTTATCCGATTGGGTATAATTCTTTCAATTGGGTATTTTCAGTGTATTCGGCTTAAGAGTTTTCGGTTTATGTTATTTTGGCTCAGTGGCGTCAAATTGCATCGTTCAATGGGTGTAAATTTTTCTGGATGAAATAATTGTTTTGAGGGGTAGTTTTTTTGAGTTTGTAAACAATGTGTTATGAAATCTTTTTTTTCCGGCTCGGTGGGTCTGCTCGGAAAAGTTTTTATCGCTTCGTAAGTTCGGTTCCGTTTTATTTGGCACGTTTTTCTCCAAATCCATTTCATTCTAGACAATTCGAGAGAACCTAACTAAGTAAACGACCGAGAAATTTTGGTAAATCTAGTATTTGGATTATTTATTTTGCTTAAGTGTCAATGCACGCAGTGAATACATTTATATAGGTCGCGATGATTTTTTGTTTTGATCTAAATTTGTTCAGAAAAAGTTTGATCTTATGTGGTTCGTCTTTTGATTGAAAGGGAAGGAAGAGTGCGTTGTCCTATAACTAAAGTGGAAATGAAGTAGAAAAAGTTACTTCTAGATTGGAAAATGGATTTTAGTTTTTACATGCTCCAGCGGAATAGAAAGTTTAGTTATTGATCCATTTTTCAGAAATTGGACTGATTTTATAAGATTCGTCCGTTTTTAGGTTCTTTGCGTTCATTCACACTTTCCTAAAACTCTCTTTTGGTTATGGTTTTCGAATTAGTGTCATTCCTCTCATTTTATGTCGGCTGGAGTGTCAAGCTATCTTATGTTGCTTCTCAACATTCGCTTTGTCTACGTGTATTAACGCACATCGCGAGCGGCGGGGAGGGGGAGGGTGAGATGTCAAAAAAAATTAAATAATAATTTTAAAAAATCGATTGTTTGAACACACGCTTGCTTGCTTGCGTAGTGTTATATTACGATTCGACTTTTTTCTTCATAGCATTCGCAATTTAGTAGATAGTGTTTATCCCCATAATTGGTTTCTAGTATTTTGGTGCAAATGTGATGACATGAAAGTCATTGTCTCCAATTTTGAGCTCCGATTCCGGCAGATAACAAAAGTTCTATTTTTCAAGGCTGATTTTACTTTATCTTACCTTATTTTTTGCTTCTTGTGAGCTACTTTTTGCCGTGTATTCGCTTGTTTGCAACGTGGAACTACGCCTCTATTTTGAACATAAGTTGCTTTCTCCAAAAACGACTCAACTTTAATGACAGTCAGAACATACAAATTTGCTACTTTTTGACGTTGAGTCTGGTTTCAGTGCTTATTCTTGTATTTTTTTTGTATAATTTTCTCATTTGATGTTTTTGTTTCCGAAGTGCAGTGTTGACGTTAACAATTTGGACTAAGAATTTTGAGGAAGCCTGTTTCATTAAACTGCGAAGGTTGAGCGTCATTGTTATAGGCCTAACAAATCATTGGGCGGACGTCAGCAAGATTAAATTTAGTTAAACCGCTTCTAGACGACATTTGACTTGGAGGATCGAGAGATTTGTTCTCATTCTGCAATAAACGATTTTTAAAAGCATATATTTAGTTAATGGTCTTTTTAGGACGAAGGATGTTTAGATGCGAATGCTAAAGCGTAATCAACATCATCAGTAAAAAACTAACTGAAGCAATGCGATAGAAGTTGGAGGCTTTCTATCTAGCTGAAAAAAGGAATGTTTCTATTGTACTGTGTTGCACTTAACTGTTTTCAGAACTAAATTTTCAATTTCTGGATTGGTTTAGATTTTTAATTTCTAAAGGATAATCAGCATCATCATTGTTAATTTGTTATCTAATAGAAGCAAGGCATTAAATATATTCATCTGAAAAAAAACTTGCCTCTTTAGAAAAAAACACGTTAATGGTTTTTTTTCAGATGAATATATTTATTCTAAAGAGGCAAGTCTTAATGTTTGTTTTGTGTGTCAGGACGAAGAGAAGACGCGCGAGGCGATAGTGGATGGGTGGGTGTTGTCGGGCGACATAGGGGAATGGACAGCGGAGGGTACTCTGAAGATCATAGACAGGAAGAAGCATATCTTCAAACTGGCACAGGGCGAGTACGTTGCGCCCGAGAAGGTTGAGGGAATCTACTCTCAATATCCTCTGGTCGCGCAGATATACGTGCACGGGGACAGCTTGCAGGTAAACATAAAAATGTAGACGCAGTTAAAATAATAATAATAAGACACAGCGTTAGACTGTGAAATCGATCCTTGCTACTACAATGATTGTGTTAAGGCAAGAGCTGTAACTTGACCTCCTGATTCAGGTCTACCACAGTCTGACTGATTTCAGCTGCAATAGTGCTACCACGTTAAACTCTTTGATGAAAAAGTACTACCTCGAGGCAAGGAAATTCAGGAACAGAAAAAAATTCTGTGAAGAGTAACGTATCTTATATAGCTTTAACGTTTTAAAGATGATACGTAAATCTAATTCCGGTTGGTCTTTGCGATTCTGGGTTTTGACTTTCATTTATTTTTATTATTTATGCCAAATTGTTGGCAATAAAAATGACTCTGAGCAACTCAATCGGTCAAAAACCTTAAAGTAGATAAATTAGATAGATAAATTAGATTCTGCAACCTAACTTTTACGAGCTGAAAAGAGTTCAAAATTGATTTACGACATCAAAATGTGCACTCTTGGTTGTAATCCGTTGATCTATTAAGATATTGCCAACAATTTGGCATTCACTATAAGGTCTCATTCTTAATTAATTATTTAGTACTGCTGTGTGGGAGTGTGTATACCTGACGAGACTGCCTTACGAAATCTGGCATGCCAGGAGGGAATCCAAGACAGCACCCAACTCACCTTCTCACAGTTGTGCCAGACACCCAAACTGGTTCAAGTGGTGCTCAACAAACTCACAGAACACGCCAACGAAAAGAAGCTGAACAGTCTGGAAAAAGTAAGCTTATGAGTCGTTCATAGACCATTGATACTCGAACAAATTCCCATTGATAGGTGCATTGGTTCTTTTCGATTTTAAGTATTAATTTATTTGACTTTATGCTAATTTCTAATTGTATATTAGCAAGCAGGTGATTTATTACTTGTTATGATAATTTCATTTAGTAGCAACATGTGTATTTAACCAAGTAATTGTTTTAAATTTACTTGTTTGCGGAAAAAAATTAGGAACATGTTAACATCCAGCTCTCTGAATTGACCAAGTTAAGACCGGCCATCCAAATATTAAGCAAAGATAATGGAATCTGATTGGCTGAAAATATCACCTTAGGATCAAGGTAACATTTTCATTTTCCGCTCCTCTAAGCCGGTTCTAGGGGGACGGATCAAAACTTGATCATCCATTTATTCTTCGAATGTTCTCTGAAAGTGTTGAACGGTGATTCCATTATTATTGTGCAAGATAGATGGAGCGGAGGCTTTATGTTGGTATGATAGTTCAGATGGGCAGAATCCTTGTGTTGGGAAATGTCGAAAAAGAGAGCTATTCTGTGAATGATGAATGGGAGTGTAAATTTATCAAATAATGTGATGCCATCAAATTATTATATGAGCCTTTTAATATGTTCGAAGATATAAACTATTGTGTAACAATTTGCAGGAAAGTTGGGATAAACAAGGGTCCTGGCTTCGAATCTGACAGGACCTGTTTTTTTTTCAAACGAAATATTCCGTTTTGCATAAAAAATTGTCGGTTCATTATTTGTCTGCTTACATTTTGTCGGATTAATTGTCATATTGTAGAATTGTTGTTTGTTTAAGTTTTTTTAACAATATAGTTGCTTTTAGTATTCTGATTTACCTCTGATGTTTGTAATTTTACTAACCTTGACTTCTTATGTTTTCTCTTTTTTTCGCTGGAAAACTGTGTTCTGCCCAAATGCTTTCGGCCTAATTTGTATCGGCTTTCGACCTAATTTTGATTCATCTCTGGATCGCAAAAAATGCTAAAAAGCTTAATAAAAATTCTAGTTCAAGTTGTTTTTCATGACAACAATTTTTTCGGCTTTTTTTTCGGCTTTTGATAGGTTTTGGGCTATATTATATCGGTTTGATGGCCATATTGCGGCTTTTGACTAGCGAAAAAAATTTGTGAGTGCGTGTCTGTGTTTTGAGGGTGAGGTGGACATTAACTTAAGTCTTGTTGATTTTTTTCGGCTTAAAGGCTTTGTGCCAAGGTTTTTTTTGGCTTTGTTACCGTTTGATAAATTTTCTTTCGATGCTTATTTCATATTCTATTGATTGTCGTGGCATGTTTTGCTTTTTTTGGTCTTTTCCAGCCCCCCCCCCTCCCCTCCCTTTCAATTTCATATTTGAAAAGCTTTTTGTGAACAGATTTGTTCTTCATACTTTACAGCGTAACATACGCATTTCGCCGCAAAAACACGTAAAACAAACATAAAACTCGGTATTTTGAAAAGTGGAGAACTGGAAAAGAGCCTTTTTTTAAATTTAAAACTAGGCGTTTTTTTGATAGGTTTAGTTTTTTCGTTTTCGATTTTTTTTCTGACTTAGCAGCTTTCTTGATTTGTATTGCAAGTGGTGCGAAGCTTAGCTTCGCCTACGAGTAAAGTGATACTTTTTGAGATAGTAACTACTAAAAAGGGCCCCAAAATTTATTCGTTTGCTTTCAGATTAGAGCCATTTACCTGCATGATGAGCTGTTGACCCCTGAGAGTGGACTGTTGACCCCGACTCTGAAGTCGAAGAGGGCAGACATGGCTAAATACTTCAGAACACAGATAGAACAGATGTACGAGCGACTGTCAGAACACGACAACAAGGTCGCCGCCAAAACTGCGTCCAAGTTGTGAGCCATGATAAATGGACACCTACTACTTGCGGCTCTTTTACTTTGACCCCCCCCCCCCAACGCAAAAAGAAGCAAGCGTAAACATCAAGTTAAGGAGTAGCTAATAGTTTTTATCACGTTGCATATGAATAGATGGATAAGACTAAATAGTTTTGGAATTAGTATTTTTGAACATTCCGAATTTCTTAAGTAATGCACGTGAATAAAAAGTGGCGCTATTCGACTCCCCCCACATTGAATTTCAGTTTTGAAAAACTAATTTTACGTTGTCACAATGCAATGAAAGTTTGCATCGTGATCAAACTAACGATTGTGAACAGATTTCTTCTTCATAAATTACATTGTAACATCACACGCAATCAGCCAGAATCACATGCAAGACATCTGAGAAAATTGAAATAAATGGGGGGGAGTGGAAAAGAGCCCAAAATGTGGATACATGAAAATTGTGGGGGGGGGGGGGGGCGGTAAAGGAGCCTTACTTGTACAAAGCTGATGCCAAGAACCATTTGTCATGTCCGTTTAGAAATCACTAAGTTGATTGTGTTTTAAGGTGAAATATTAATAAGTTCTTGGCCTGGGCTATAGATGGATTTATATAGATACTATATTAAAGTAATTTGTACTATGATTCGTATTTCCTTCAATTTATCAATTTGCAATTGATTCTTCGTAAATAGACTGCTTGGCAGTAAGCCGAACGACGACTGACCTACTCGGTTTTAAATTTACCTCTGAAACCAGTTTACAAGTAATATTTTGTTGTACATTAACTACATTGCAGTCTAGGTTTTATGTCCTTCTCCTTCCGTTTTAATTGTCTTGTCAAAATTATAAAGTTGTTCCGATATTCAATTAAAATTTCAACTGCCTAGTTTTTGAAAGTTATTTTTTCGAATTTTCCATAACATTTTTTAAGATTCGATGATCGTCGTTGAGACTCATATAGGTCGTCGTAGTTTTAATTTTCATGAAAAAGTCTACAATTTGTTCACGCTCAAATTTGAATTTTGGCGGTTTGATATAATTTGATTTTTTAAAGTTCAATTCGTTCTATTATTAAAAGGGAAAAAAACTCTATCCAACAGCAAAAGTGTAAAAATTACGAAAAATTTCTAGTTTCGAAAGTGAAATTTTATTTTCAGATTTTCCACCAAAATAAAAATATTACCCATAGATCCAGTTTTCTCAAATTGAGTTAATTTTATTTAAAAGATGTACATCATAAATTGTTCTTGTAGTTCAAAGATCTTCAAAACCATATATTTTTTTCATTTGATTTAGTTTCGAGTAAGTGTTAATCAACAAAATCAGTACGTGAGAAGTAACTTTGTATTCTTTGGTTGTCTCTTTTCTGAGCGAAATCATGTACCATAAAGAAATGAAAGATAGATAGAATCAAGTTTTATATGATCTTACAGAATTTTCAGTTTTCGTTTCAACTACTTTCGGAATTAAATTCATTTTCAATTGCTTCAATCAATGTTGAAGTGTTTGTTTTATGAAAAAGGAATTCATAAGTAATTATTTTTGGCTGGTTTTTATTTGAAGATCTGTCAATTATACAACAAAAACTACAAAGCGGTGTGCAGACTAGTTAACAAGTGTGCCAGTCGGTCTTTTACGCAAAAAATCGAATAGAAATGATGAGTTCATATCGGGAAACCTGTGAAGTTTTGTAAATTTCCGCTAACTGAGACAGAAGTGGAAAAATAAATTAGGAGAAATATCCGATCGATCTAAAGTTGTCGACTACTAATTCATTGAGTTCGAGACGCAGAAAATGATTCGGAAACCGATGGCAACTAAGGAGGCAAAAAGATTTCATCATTTTCAAACATTTATTTTGTCATCGAGTGATCTCTGGGAGGAGTTTTAACACTCTGACTAGTGCAAAAACTCTCCGTTGCGACGCCGCTTCTCAGTCAAAACTTACTAAACTCGGTTATATCGATAATTGTGTCATTACTTTATCGTAGCCTTTATGATGCCTTAATACCAATGTAGCCCGTATTTTATAATCATTTTCAGGCTATGATAAGTTAGGAGTGGTTAAGAGCTAATCCATACATGATGGATCAAAGCTAGTTCTGTTTGAGTGTCGATGAATGTAGTTCAGTCTCCTATATAAGTCATAATGTTTTTTTTTCCTTGTTTCGGTTCAGCGAGAGTAATAATATTTCTTCAGGCTCGAAATTAACCTTTCGTTGTTGTATATCTGATTTCTTCAGTTCAGTTCATATCCTTTGTTGAAAGAAAGGCAAACTCCTCTATTGAGGAGTAAATTTATAAAGGTCACAAAAACGTTATCGATTTTTTGGTTTTTAAATTGGAATGTAATGTTCAGGTTTCACAGCGAAATACAAAAAGTAACGTTCCAATATATTTTTGTCAAATTGAGCTTTATTTAGCAAAAAAATTGCAATCATAATTAATCTTAAAAGCCATATGGCTTTAAAAGCATCAATTTGTTTCTTCGGAAATCGAAAATTGAGATTTTTTCCAAAAAAAGTGTTTTTGTTTTCTGTATACTTGCGTTGGCTGTTTTCACTAAATACTAGCCCATCTCGTTCTTAACTAAATGGATGCTAAAAGTACTCGCGGAATTTGAATTATAAGTGATTTTTATATGGGGTTACTACAATGCCGATTTAAACTATCCGGACAAAACAAAAATTGAATTTTCAAACACATTGTTCTCAAATTGGGTTAAGATTAGACAAAAAATGAAGCGAACAAAACTTTCTTAGAATTTTATCAGAATTATTATGGTGCCATTTTTTCTCGCAACTTTCTCAAACAAAATTTTACCCCAAAAATGGGTCGTTTTGGTTTTTTTCAATTATACAAGAATTATGCTGAAACCACTTCGTTAATTAATGATGAATATATTTCACAAGAAGACTCTCCCACAGCCCAACAAAGTTCAAGAAGGGTTAAATCTCCAAAAACCTGTATAAGTGAAAATATTTTAGCTTGATAGTCAAGAAACGTGGTTTTTACTATATTAACCAAAAATCTTTGCTTAAAAATGAATTTCAAAAAATTTACTCACATTTTTGGAGAATTTTGTCTTGTTTTTTTTATCGTAACTTAGCAACCAAAGAGCGCATGCCAGATAAGCAAGACAGTTTCTGTAAGATTATTCCTAAAATTTTTAAAATTTTGTTTTTGGTCTCATTTATAGCAGTTTTTTAACATAGCAGTCTGTTAGGCAATTTAAATTGGCGTTGCAAAGCCAATTTTAGGATTATTAGATTTTTTTTTGTTGCAAATGAAATTTTTAAAGAAATTTGTACAGTCAATTAACGCCAAAATTGAAATTATATGAATTCGACGAGCAAATCAAGTATTAATTTCTCCATATTTTTGTCATTTTCTTCGCAATTGTTTATACGGTTCAAAATTTGACAAATGCAGGAGAAAGTTACTTAGAAGAACTTAGCCGAGCCAAATTTCGGAATTTATTGCTTCGAAGGCTTAAATTAGCCAGTGAACTGTAACTAGTTTTAGAGGTGTTCTTGCTGAGGAAACATTCTCGCAAAGTCTATAAGGACTCAAATAGGTTTTTTGGTAAGCTTATAATGTTTAAATAATTTTGCAACCGAAAATCAACAAAACAAACAAATTGAAAGAATTACTCCGTCCGACATCGAAAAACTGTCAAACCTGCTTTGACTACTACGTTTAAATTTCTTGGGAGCTGATCCCGAAAGTTTGACATAATTTAGAGACAACAATTGCATAGATTAGAATCCTGTGCATGGATAGGAGCTGTAATTTTCTTCGAAAACTTGAACAGATCTTCAGTTCTTTTCTTGGCTTATTTCGGCCATCGAAAATTGAAGAAAAAAAATTAAACTTGTTCTGATTTTTTTTTGATTTTTTAAAAAAATTTTTGACATGAAGTGTTGCTGTTCATTAACTTTTGGTTTTCTTTCCGCTCGGTAAGTTTTTTCTGATGCTAATTTAACAAAAAATTTTTTGATTTTTTTACTTTTAGTTTTTCTAGTTCTCTTTGACAATTTTTGAGTCTCGTGCTGTTTTAATCAAAAAGTAGTTGCATCGCATGTGGTGCGAAGCTCAGCTTTGGCTATGTGTAATGTTTATTTACGCCCATTAAATTGTGATCGATGACCAACTTTTCGTTGAATCAAGTTGTTCAGTTGGAAGATAATTCCAGTTGATTTGTTTTTGAGAATAAAACGGGTTAATAGATGTACGTAGATCGTTTTTTGAAATAGCGTGTTCAAGAACTTGTTTTACGACTTGTTCATGATGCGTTTTTTTCGTTGGTTTTATTAATTAACGATCAAGTTCATTCAGTCGATGATTAACTTTTGTTCGTCTCGTGAACATATTTAAATAGAAACGTGAACAATTAAAATTTCACAAAAGTTTGTTGCAATAAAATTAGCTTAAAATACATGTAAAATAAGCACAATTCGTCAACGTTTTTTTTGTTAATATTATCAAAAATAATGTTGAAATGGGTTGTTTTTATTACAATTGACTTGATTGCATCTACTGAGCTGGCTTATAATTGTTCTTCCCATGTTATAAAAAAAATTAACCAGTTTAGAGAGAACGGCCACTTTATCAAATTGCCACTCGAACTGCAAATTGACGTTAATTCGAGTCAAATTGCAGAGGATTTGGCTAAGATGAAAGAAAGCAAACCCGACTTCGATTGTCAAGACTACGACATGCAAATGCCTCGGGACAACAATTTTGTAATTTTCAACGACTGCGTTATGATTACACCAAACGGCGGTGAAGGGCATATTAACGTTAATATGGACCGATCATCTACAGAACTAGTAAAGTTTTGGTCCCAAAATATGTCCGAGTTTTACAAGTACCCGGGAGAAGGTATAAGACTAGGAGAGGGATGCAACACCGACAGAATTAATCTTCGTAAGAGGGAGCGCTACTTGACAGTATTCGCAAAAATGATGCTAGCAATCTCGTGCTCTTGCCTGGGAGCTGACGACGGAATTATAGCAGATGGCGCCCAAAAAAGGGTTTTTATAGTTTGTATAATGCAAAAGAATTACTACAAGGAGAACCTTGGAAAAGCGACAGAAAAATCAGTCTTTGATTACAAGCGATTCTTGCATATACAAGAAACTACTAACAGATCAGCCGGGCTGTGTCCGACAGTTGAAAATTTCAACCAGCAAATGATCGATAAGCTGAACGAAATCCGGGGTTTGGATCGAGCTTTCCATCATGACAGCGTGAACCCGAAGTTACTCCAGGTGGCTCAGCAAGTTTTGTTCAAACTTCCCGACGACTGCGAACTGACTTACCAACCACAGCCATACGCAGCCGCCGTCTTCTGTCTGCACGCGACCTTCGAGGACGGACCCAACAACCGCATGGCCATGAATATGGCAATGGAAAAATGGCTCAAGGACATTCGGTTTTTCAAGTGAGTAGTTCAAACTGTAATTGAACTATTTTCAACACAAGTGATATTGCACAGGAAAAGGAAAGTTTTGCTAAAAATGTTCAAGTTTCAAAAAATCCTGTTTTTGTTTTGCTATTGGTAATTGTAGGATTTTTTCAAGGAGATATTTATTGGAACACAGAAGTCGTTTTTCATAGAAAAAGGGCGGAGTTTCAAAAAGTTTTCAAAAACTTCGTCGACTTTTTTTAGCTCGACTTTTTGTAGGTCGACCAAATAGATTTTCACTAAATCTGTATATTAAAGTTGCGCCACATGCAAATTTATGCAAAAAACAGGCCAAAAACAAATTTAGGCGTTTTAAGCCACTTTTTGAAAAGTTTTGACCAAAAACGCTTTTTTTGGCATGCGCTCAATTTTAGCATGCCCCCCCCCCCCCTCCTTTAAATCCGCTACTGACACTGATCAGGGCTTTTTGCAATAGAGTTAGGTGGAGATTGCAGTTCTTTTCTTACTTAACCAAATATATTTTTTTAATTTCTCGTAGAACACTAAAAAACCAAATCGTGTCAAAGATGTCGTGTTTGAGCGCTTCTTGGAGGTTTTGACTACAAAACTGATTTTCTGGGTGCTCGCTTTCCCCTTAATTTTAACATAGACGCACTTAGAATAGTTTTTGGGTCAGTCACCGAATAATAAAATCAGTAAAAAAAGCCTCAAAAAGGGAGTTTTTTTAGGTGTTAAGGGTAATCCATCCAAAACTTGAGAGAGCATTATTCGTAAACAGACAAGCTCAATGTTTTTTTTAAGTTTTCTTTGATAATTGGTTTTCGAAAACTGATGGAGCTTTTGAATTTTTTTCAGATACACGGGTGAGAACTCGACTATCTCTCGGTGCAATGGAGCAGCATATAGTCCCGAACACTACAAGGTCAACCGATTCGCCCTCATAACGTCCTCATTCGTTCAGGATGTGAAATGCAAGGCCTTAGACTACAGGGATCTTCTTAACTATTTCTCCCCTTTTGCAAAAGTGAAAATTACTTATTAGGTAAAAATTCGTGCGAGTTTTTCCATTATAGGGGGAGGGGGTACAAGTTTGGTACAAGGAAGCATAGGAGGGGGGTTAATAAGGTAGGGGGGGGGGGGGGGGTTGGGGATTACAGTGGGAGGTTGTTCGGAGAATGTAGTTAAACGTGGGGGGGGGGGTGTGGTAGTTAATAAGATTCTAATACAGCAACACGGCCACCGAACAAGTACGAATAGTATGTGCATTTGAAAAAAGAGAACTCAGCAAAACAAGATTTGACAAAAGACGTCATTTTTGACGAAAATGTTTTGTATCAAATTGAAAAACGTATCGCTTTCATGGGTCAGAAAATACCACGTTGTGAAGTTGCAGATGACATTACTCCCCTTCGCACATCTGATGCGCCCGGTACCAGTAGACGAACCCGACGAACAACTTGGTCGCGACGACCCAGACCCCCAAAAATGGCCTCAAACGAGAATCTTTGCAAAATCGCAACCTCTTCCAAGTGTTTTGTTCTGCTATTGCAATTTGCCCTGCAATTTGATTATAGTTCTCTATAATGATAATATGTAGAAATTTTGTCAAATATGTATAACTGATATAGTTCTCTTTGTATTTCGTGTGTGTTTTCGTCTCTTTGTTTTTTTTTAAACAATTAGTCAGAAAATCGCGTCTTAGTTTCCGAAAGAAAACACTGAAAATAGTTTCTGAAAAACTTTTAAATTAATTTTCAAGTGGAGAGGGGCGGATCTAGGATTTTCTCGAGGGGGGGGGGGGTGCGGATTTTCAAAAAAAAATCGAAAATTTTGACGACCTTTTTTTTAGGTCGACCAAATTGATTTTTCGAGCTCGCCCAAAGCACTGCTTTGCCCCTATCAAGTCGCAGTCAAGTTTTTGAAAAAACAGTCAAAAAAGCCGTTTTTGGGCACTTTTTGAAAAATTTTGACAAAAAAATCGCGTTTTTTTTGACGCGAGCTCCCCCTTTAAGTTAGTATATATTGGCGCCGAAGGCGCCTTTAGAAAAATTTTAGGGTCGGTCGGCCAAAAATGGATTTCTGAAAAAGTATCAAAGGGGGGACCCTTTGGGTCGGCAGGGGGCCGAATCCCTGAGAGGAAAGCGTCCGCCCCCCACCTAAATCCGCCCCTGCAAGTGAACCCAAGTTTTTCGGAGAAATTGTTTTCAAATTTGTTGTATCAAGGTATCAGAGGCAGGGACGGATCTTGAAATTTTTGGAAAGCTTTTGGCGATTAAAGTAGCACGGATTTTAGGTCGATCAAATACTCTTTCTGATTTCTTCTGAAACGCAGAAGGATCCTGTTTAGAGAAAGTATTGCATATTGAACCAAAACTTCCATTTTTGAGCAACTTTGGAAGATTTTTACCAAAATCAGTTTATGTATTTTGATGCGCGTTGCCCACTTAAACTTGTCGCCAAAAGTGTACATTGGTGCTAAAAGTTTCAGGTTTGGTACTAAAAAGTGATGTCATAAAAAATGAGCAAAAAAGGCAATTTGCCCACCCCATCCATCCGATTAGAGAGATAATCACAGTCAATTAAAATACATCAGCGCTGGAAGTTTATTGAATATATGAAACAATTGAAATCAGTAAGACTGCCCCAGTCATTATGGGGCAAATCGTGGGGTGGGGGCATCCCAGGATGACAGGTCCATCGGTGTAATTTTGAACAATCTCATAGACCCAGTAGCCCCGCTCGTCTACAGTAACCGGAGCGATTGAATCATCCGCCAATTCCTTCACCCTCTTGGTTCCCGAAAGTGGAAGTTCCAAAATTGTTTCTGAAAAAAAAAAACAAATCAATTGCGGGAATTTTTGACCAAAAACAACTGCCACGCACTCCATACTATGAAAAAACAGTATAAATGATTTATTCCGTGGAGCATTTAAGAACAGATGTGTGTTTGGACAATGGCGTATGGTGTATTGTTTCCGGCCATTTTAGGGTCCTTAGGGAATTGTCTAGTGACTAAATTTTGCTTTCAAGGCTTTCGTTCGTTTTTTGAAATTTGAAATTTGAATTACTTTATCAGCCAAAAGCAATATATTATGTCTGGAGGGAGATCCTAAAGAGCAGTACTGCTCATCGCGTAGGATATCCTGAAAAGTATGGAGAAGACAGCCAGCATCAACTCAACAAACAAATTAACTTAAGGGCTGAAGTTAAAAAACAGTGTATAGAGGTCCTGATTGTCTTTTAGGTAAATTTGAAAAATCTGTTCATAGAATCTCAAACAGCTATCTTGTGACATTTCATGTATATTCAGAGGCATCAAGTCAGTTTGTTTTTGTCATTTTTTGTTGTATTTTCAGATCTTACTAAGTTTTTTTGCTTGTTTATGCGGGATGGTTACATGTCAGTATTTAGACAACCGCGTAATCAGACTGGTCAGTATTTAGACAAATACTGTTTCAACCAATCAGAATCGAGACAAAGAAGAAATTAATAAATAATTATTATTTATTTCAGATTATTTATGTCTTTTCTCGATTCTGATTGGTTCATACAGTATTTGTCTAAATACTGACGAGTATGAATACGCGGCTGTCTAAATACTGGCTGCACTCCATGCGGGATGCAGCGATAACGCAAGCTCGATCAAATAAACGCAATCACAGAAGGTTTTGATCTCTGAAATACTTAAAAGGTGATTCTATTTTTGCTACATAAATCAACAGTTATAGAATTTTTTACCGTGATTTCATGAATGGTTGCCCAATTCTTCTTCTTATTTTGTGGTTTAATGTTTGACTTTCTTGACGATAAAGGTTGACTAAAATCTGTGCGTGTATAGTAATTTCTAATTAACAGTTTTATCCCTTTTCAAAAATTTGATTGGCCGTTTTTATTCTAATCTCATTACGAGTTGGCAAAGAACTATGGGTATGATCTGCTCTTTTCCGGACTATTTCGACTGACTCAAAAATCTGTGGGTGTCAAGTGCCAGTGTGGTATCGTACTGAAGCCTATTCAATCGATATTCAGATTCTAGAAAAAAATCAGGATGGGGACTGTCAACCTATTTAACTTCTAACCTACTACTAACTAAACAAGGTATGGCAATTTTGAATTAAAGATGGATGAATTAGTTACGTATATAAGCAAAGCTTGACAAAAACTGTTCTCTTTCAACAGGATTCAGAGAGTAAGAAGAGTCAAACATTCAAACCAACATAGACAGATTACGGGGCCTAGGAAATTAGACGATAAGCCAATTAGACGGATGCTACAAAAACGAAATGAGACGGAATTTATTTTTTTTACAGATCTAGCATTTTAGACAAAAGGGAAAGGGCCAACAAAAATTTCTCTTAAGAGTCAAGTTTCACAAATACAAAAAGAACATAAAATGTCAATACCTATCAAAACAATTAGTTTAAATGAACATAAAATGTCAAATCTGAATATTACAGGAGAGTTTTGAATTGAATAAATTATGCATGATTGACTTGTAAAAGTTTTGGCCACCGAAATTGAACTGTTGTCTCTAAACAATTTTAATATTCTAACGCAATTTGTGTGCAAACAAAGTTATTTTCTCTCACTTTCGTCTATTTTCTCACAATTGCAGTTTTGCAAAATTGTCTAATTTCCCTTTAAGTACCTCCGTCTAATTTGCTTATCGTCTAATTTCTCAACCCCCTCAGATTACATGTCACGAAATTGAATAGCTTTAGGACATTCAACTGAAGCGTAAACACTTTAGGTTACAGTTAGACACGACTGTTGATGCCGAAACAGGCTCTTTTTCTTTTTTCCTTCCCCCCCCCCACCTGCAAATTTCTACATGTAAATTTGTTGACCACATAGTCCGATTGTTATGAAAATTTACATACAGACCTATAAGGCCACGACAAACATATTTGGTCTTCATAATCAATCTCATAAAACCAAACGTTACACTAATAAGCTGAAACTGGCGTGAGGTGGGGGGGGGGGGGGGGGGGGGGGGGGAGGAAAAAGAGCCCCGAAACATATTTCCTCGCTTTTAAAAATTCGAGTTACCCTCATATGAAAAACTGAAATAAATAGCACGTAAACAATTGTTTATAAATGATTTCAAAGTAATACTTCTTATCGACCCTTTGTCGACCTTGTTTTATAAAAATACGTACGAGGTTTTCAAATGGAAAATTTTGACTAATCAATACAAAGTTTCAAAGTTTGCATTCAACTATCTATAATGTCCACAGCGAAAAGTTCCACCGGGCTCTTAATCGCTTGGTGTAGCGAGAACACCCATGATTGCGGCGGTAAAAGTCAGAATTTTGATTCCGGCAAGAAACTTAACTTTGTACAATTCAAAAATTTAGTTGTCGGATTATCGTTGTTTGCTTAATTTTTGTCGGCCAAGTTTCCACAGCATCGACTTTTTTGTTTTAGACATATTTACTATGCATTAAAATACTATATATGTATATTTGTTTCAGTCCGGATAATTGAGTTCTTATAAAGTTAGCCGTTAGAAAATTGTTTAATCAATTTAAAAAAGTACAATTTTTTAATAACTTCTCGGAGTCAAAAAATGTACTGCATGAAACCATCTATGCTTCCAGTCGCATTAGAAAGGATAAAGCATAATTTTTTTATAATCTTTTGATTTCATCAAGAAAACATGGAAGGTTTGTAAGTAGTTTTTTCAACTTTTACTTAAAAAAAAATTTTAAAACCTTTTTGACCATTTTTTATGCATTTGCAGTTTTTTATGCTTTTGCCAAAAAACTGATAACCTGGCACTTTGAACAAAATGTACTAAAGATAGATTCTACAACCAAAGAACTTCTGCTTGAATGGTCAAAAACGGAGTTTGTTTGAATCGGCCCGAAAAGGTGATACTTGACTTCCGTGGGGCGAGATATTTGATTGAGAGCAAAAATTTCCATTAGTCAAACATTTGGAGCACGTGGTATAACTTAAGTGTAAATGAATCAGCAAATCCTACGATTCATACTCACTTTACTTCTCGTGTCCAATGTGAGCGCAGCGGAGCAGTTGTCGGTACTTCCCAATGCCTTCCGAATTGTGTTGCTTTTGTTTCGAAGTGTCGCGCTTTACAAAAAGTCGTTTTTCGAAATACTGCCAGTTGTCTGTCGCTTTCAAAGAAGAAATGCAGCTCTTTCCTTGACTATATGAAACCTTGTTTGAGAAAAATTCAGTAATCAGATACAGCTTGTTTTTATTATTCTTCTGGTTTATTTGATCGAAGAGTTCTTAACTGACAAAAAATAATTCGTCTAAAGTAGAATTCGCCATGTATTCTAACACATTAAAATTTGGTTTTTCTTAAATGAAAAAATTTCGTTTTTTTTTCAAAACTTCCAGCAAGATAAAACACGTATTAGCAATTTTTCAACTTTAGTTTTCTTTAATATTTTACTTCACGTGCAATGTCAAATAGTAAATAGTTGAAGTTGAATTGATATATAACTATAGTTCAGTTGAACTACAAAAGCTAGCAACATTTATGTGTTGACATTTTTTGAGCGCGCACCAAAAATCAACCATAGTTCAAAAATCGTGTTTTTTGACTGGCAGTCGGATCAAAAAGAGACTAGATTGTGATCACAGCATTTTTGATGAAAACATTTCTAGATTTAAGAAATTACTTAGACGTTTGAATTTTCAAAATTTCTATGCTTTCTTACACTTTTGAAGTTATCATTCAAAATTTTCATGGCGGAACGGAAAGGCTTCTGAAATTAAATAAATTAATAAACTTTTGTTCTGTTCACTTTTCAGTCAAATTGAACATCACTGAGGTTTCTTTGAGAATATAGATTTTAAAATTGCTCGATATGTTCAATGTGTTTTTTTTTTCATTTCATATGTCTCCCGTTGAAAGGCGCTTGGCGTTAGAAGTTTCTTTATTTATAGAAACGCTTAAGATATATTCAATTGCCAGCAGTCATCAGGAACTGAATATGTGAAAGTTGAAAATGGTACAGGAAAATAAAATACAAATTGAGATCTGCTGTTTAGTTTCACGCCGTTTTTATTTTCAATTATGTTTTTATTCTTCAAAACTTAGAAAATTGCTAATGATTCATATAAGCAAGTTCTCTATTATGTTAAATTATGCTAAATGAATGATCAGAATCTTTATTGACCCTCATTGCCGGTTTTTTGTCGTGAGCCCGAAACTATGCCAAGACGGAACTCGAAACTGGCGCGAAGTTCAAGAGGCCAAAGGTTAAGAGGCCAAAACAGTCAATATCTAGTGAAGTGTAAATTATGATTTTTATCGAGATTAAGTGCTTTTTGAAAATCAGTGGTGTTGCATACATGATTAGTTCATCTATACTCAGTTGTTGTTGAACTCTCACGCTCGCTACTTTACGGAGAGAAATTATTTTGATGTGGTCATTTAAGTATAAGTCATATAAGTCTTTAGGATGAGTTCACGGATCCCACGAGTTGTGCAACCCTCATACGAATGGTTAAAACAGTGTAAAACTCCAAATTGCTCTTAAGCTAGTAAAATTCGCATTTTGCTAGCAAAATCCGCATATAAAATTGCGGAATCCTCTTTTTGTTGCTGAATCTAATTAATATTTGTGGAATACGCTAACAAATGCGGACTCCATTTGCAAATGCGGACTCAGCAACAACTTGCAATATTCGCTCATTGCGGGTTTTACGGCAGAATTAATTTTCCGACGACTTTTAGGTTACAGGGAATTGCGAGTGAATTCTGCAACAATTTGTGGATCCCAGTTCGGAACCTTATGCTTGGATTCCAGAGTTTTATTTGCCGCAAACAGTGCGAATATCCATAAAAAATTTTGGCCTGGTAATGTACATTTTCCAGCTATAACCATCTAAGTTATGTCGACTATCACATAATTGAACACACTCACGAACCATAGAAAAATATTACAAAATTCACAAATTACTTTTTTCTTTTTTAATTGCTTATTTGAACTACCGTTATCAGTGCTTTTTGCTATCATTGTTTTCATGGAATCACTTTTTGGCCCAAATAATGTTTCAAAGTTAGCAGCAGCGTCATTAAACGCTAAAACTGAGTGAAAAACAGACCTGGAAATGCATTTGAATAACCAGAGGATTATTCAGAAATCATGATCGATTTGTAATATGTGATTAATTAAACAAAAAATACTAGCTAAAGCTTACTCAGGGCAAACTGTAAATGTTAACTTTGAAAACTTTGATCTGAAATGGTTAACTTGTCTTTGCTTGCTTCGCATTCAAAATGTGGTTGTTTGTTTGACCAGAAAATACGACTTTCCAACTGATTTACAAATACTCTTTCACCATCGTAAACAAGTCGCATTATTGTGTTAAGCTGTTCAAGTCGGCGTTTCTTACAATTTCTGAATTTGAAGATTCTTTTTACCAGGTGAGGTTTCAGAAAGTAATTCTCAACCCAGAATTAAGGAAAGCCGAAAAAAATCTAATACTCCTTCTACCTTCTGCGTGCAAAAAAATTCTAATTTTTGATCAAAGCGAACCGTTTTTTCTCTGCGTCTCCTCGTTTTTCCACGTTTTTTTGTGTTAAAGGAAAAAGACGAAAACAAGAGCAGCCGATTGCCGTGCAAAAAGTATCACACAAAACATCGATCATATTAGCATTTTCAAAAAACTTCATTTTTTTTCTTCAAGCTGTGAGGGTTTTTTGGTGGGTGGTTTAAAGCGAGGAACTAGCCAAAACTAAGTATAGAACATTATTAAATTCGGGTGTATTGTAGTTTTTTCCTTTGTTTTTGTTTTCCACGCAAAATTAGGTATCACAGATCATAATCGGAATGGGTCAAACTGGAGTGAAATATCAAACTGAAGCACTTTTAGAGGTGAATGAAACAATAAATTGAAAGTTTCGAACAGAGGTCGCAGTTTGGAAAAAACTTAGTGTACAATTTTTGATCGAGTAATATTTGTTATGAAAAAATTTAATTTCATTTAAAATTTTAGGCTAAAAGAGTTTGATTTGAATCTCTTTAAGTTCTCTTTAAGACTTTGAAGTTCTCTTTAGAAATCAATTTTTTAAGAAACTCTGTAATGGCAAGGAAGCGCTGAGCAAAAAATTAGAAAAT